CAGACCCTCCATGGCAATGTTTTAATGTTTTATTGTTTTAATGTTTTATTGTTTTAATGTTTTAATGTTTTAATGTTTTATTATTTTACTGTTATACACATTTATGATGAGGTTGGACTTTATACCTTTAGAACTAAAATAAGTATAAAATAATAATAATAAAAGTCATTGTGTGGTGAGTTCAGATGTAAAACCCCTGATTCACCGTGTGTTCTGATCAATTCTTCCGGTTTGAGCAGATCACTGTGTAAGAACCTGTTTAGGACTGATCTGCCCGGTAACAGATGACAAACCACTGTTCTCTTTTCTGATTGGACGATTCAGACGATCACATGGTCTATTTCTATTAAACTATATTAACTATTCTAACTATAGATTAAACTACATTTGATCTTAAGCCCACAAACGTGCCTGTGTGTGTGAGTTTGTTTAGTGTGAACGTGTCAAACTGCTCCACCAAAGGCGCGTTTGAGCTGCATTTATAAAGTCAATGTTAGAACTGTCATAGATCCAATATTTGGTCAGTTTGTGGTGAGTTCTGATGTAAAACTCAAATTAACTCGTCCTGTGCTCTGACCAGTTCATTCATTCAGATAAAACCAGTAAAAAAACACAGTGGCATAAACTTTTTAGAACAGTTCTACCTGACAACCACCTGTTCTCTTTTCTGATTGGACGATGCAGAAGGTCACGTGATGTTTTTTATATAAAAAAGGTGTGACTTTTTCTTTGGAAACGAATGTAGTTTTAACAACAACAGGACGTGCCCTTCAAGAGGCGACGCCCACATGATTACATGAAAACAAACATAAATGATAGAGTTTAATATCACAGTGTGGAACATTACAGTCAAAGGAAAAACATTTCATATGTCACAGTAAGGACGCGGAAATACATGATTCATGATTTAACAGTCATTAATCATCATTATTATTATTATTATTATTATTATTATTTATTTATTTTTATAAAATCATAAAAAAAAAGTTTTATTTTATTTTTTTATTTTTTTGCAAAAAAAGTTTAAAAGGGCTTTAAAAGAGCAACACAATACAAATCTATGACATGACATTTGAAAGTCCCAGCTAAAAATGACCAGGTCTAAACCAGAACTGAACCTGGACTGAACCAGGACTGAACCTGGACTGAACCAGGACTGAACCAGGACTAAACCAGGTCTAAACCAGAACTGAACCTGGACTGAACCAGGTCTGAACCTGGACTGAACCAGGAATACCACAAGTCTAAACCAGGTCTACACCAGGTCTACACCAGGTCTGAACCTGAGTCTGGTCTCTTCTGAGCGTCTGTGGAGCTTCTGTGAAGATTTCAGCTCAGATTTCACCCAGAAGTCCATCTGTCTGTTTCCAAACTCTCCAGCTTCTGTTTCAGCCGAAGCTTCTTCACTGCTCTGGCATCGATGAGCACGACTCGGGTCGGCAGGACTGGGCTGTCGCTGTGGCTCGGCGCAGGTGGGCCAGGTTGAACACTTTTACATCTACGGTTCTTTTGACACTTTACTGTTTGGAAGAAGAGTTCTTGGCCGCTGATTGGATGGTGAAAGAATGAAACCAAAGAAATAATGAACATACAGTTTCATTAGATTCCTCCCCCGGTGTAACAGGCTCCACCAGTGGCTCTGCTCCTGTCTGCTCCTGTCTGCTCCTGTCTGCTCCTGTCTGCTCCTGTCTGAACTTCCACCATCCGGACCATCAGCAGAATCTCTAAGACCATTCGCCCACTAACCCAAAGGTCTGTGGTTCATTCTCTGACACTAAAGCACCACTGAAGCACATTCGAGCGTCTACTTTTGTCTGGACACGTTTTTACAGATTTAAGATATTCGGATCAGGGTCCGTCTGCCTGGATAAGTCTGGATCATTCGGGAAACTGTGAACGCACAACAGATCTGGGACAAATGAAGTCTGGTCCGGTCAGGAGGTGGTGTCAGTCTGATTTAGTGAACACAGACTCGAGAGCTGAACAAAGCTGAACAAAGCTGATAAGAAGCAGATCAGCCCGTGTTTCTGTCAATCATCATATCATTTCCTTATGGCCTCTTGTATATAACTGTGATCTACTGTATTTATGTAACGATTTAGTTTGTTTTTTAAATTTACTGTACATACATTTATATAATTGACACGAGTTGCTATTTTCCAGAGGCTGGGACTTGTAAGTCGGGACCTTGGACTCGAGTCAGACTTGAGTCACTATTTTTAGGACTTGAGACTTTCTTGATAAAATGGACTAAGACTTGGGACTTGTCAGTGACTCAGACTTGAGGAGACTTAAGAAGCATTTTTAAATCAGAATTCTTTCTATTTTGGCCATAATGATTCACTCCAAGATCTTGTCAAAACTTTTAAAAAGGAAAAAAAAAAAAAAAAAATTATTTCTACTTCTCTTACACAGTCTATAAATACTCATATGTAATATACTATGATTGTTTAAGAACAATTTAGTTTAAAATTCATGAATATTGCAAAAATCTAAGCTATATTTGGTACTTGAAATGACTTGAAGCTCAAAGCAAAATGACTTGGACTTGAGTTGGACTTATGGGCCAGTGACTCGACTCAACTTGGACTTGCCGCTATTTGACGCAGGACTTGACTCGGACTTGAGGTCAAAGACTTGAGACTTGCAAATCAACGACTCAGTCCCACTTCTGCTATTTTCCATTTTTACATATTTAAAAGTTTATTACCATTTTTATTTGGGATGTAACGATAACCGAAATATGATATTGTATCGTGAAAAGTCTCACATTACTATCGTGGTTCTGGGACAATTTATGAATTGTTTTTACTTAAATACATGCATCCAGAATTTCGGACTTTCGAGCATCGCGTTATGCAAACTGAGAATGATCCTCTGAAAAAGTGAGCGTCAAACCTCCATGTTTGTTTTCCCAGTGGGACGTGTCTATTGACAAAGTCGATCTTTTCAAGTCTTTTGAACCATATCACTTTTGTTTCTGGTTCTGATATTGTCATATTTTAGTTTTGGGATTCGGACATCGTTAATTGTTGTGGTTGTTGGATCCTAACAGCGGAAAACGACTCGAGAAATGTGTTTGTGAACTTCATAAATGCAAAAGTGAATCAGATGTGTGTGACTCAAACCTCTGTTCAAACTGTTTCTCTTCCCAACGGAATTGAAAAATAGTGAAAGGTGAAGGTGATGGGCAGGATTGATCCACAGGAAGAACCAAAAAGGAAACATTTGTCTAAATCATCCTGAGTTTACAGAGAACATTTTGTATGTGGAGCGACAACAAAACAAAATCCCGATCTCTCGCTCAACCTCAGTTACAAATTTAAAAAGTCGACGCCAAAGTGAAAGTCTCCAACTGTTCACCAAGAAACACCTTCCACTGCAAAGAGACCAAGACGTGATGTTTCTGTAAAACCACAAGAACAAGAAAGTGCAGCTCAGTCTGTTTGTCTTCTGCTCCTCTACATTAACAAACAGGATTTTGTTTTGTTGTCGCTCCACATACAAAATGTTCTCTGTAAACTCAGGATGATTTAGTCAGACAAATGTTTCCTTTTTGGTTCTTTCCTGTGGATCAATCCTGCCCATCACCTTCACCTTTCACTATTTTTCAATTCCGTTGGGAAGAGAAACAGTTTGAACAGAGGTTTGAGTCACACACATCTGATTCACTTTTGTATTTATGAAGTTCACAAACACATTTCTCGAGCCGTTTTCCGCTGTTAGGATCCAACAACCACAACAATTACGACGTCCAATCCCAAAACTAAAATATGACAATATCAGAACCAGAAACAAAAGTGATATGGTTCAAAAGACTTGAAAAGATCGACTTTGACAATAGACACATCCCACTGGGAAAACAAACATGGAGGTTTGACGCTCACTTTTTCAGAAAATCCTTCCCAGTATGAATTGCACGATGACTGGAAGTCCAAAATTTGGGATGCATGTATTCTTAGGATTATGACAGTAATAATTCACACCAGAATCTTGTCAAGGTCTTCTAAAAGCAAATAAAAGTGTCCTATCTACAATAATTACCGCAATAAATATCCTACTGTGAGATGCATATCGTGAAAATATTGTATCGAGAGATTTGGATATCGTTACATCCCTAATTTTTATATTTTTTTACTCTTTGTTATTGTAATATAAAGTGATGTGTGAGCTACTGTGCCCACGTAATCTCCCTTGTGGATCAATAAAGTCTGTCTAAGCCTAAGTCTACGTCTAAACCCGATAGTGACCGATGTAACCCCTGCACAAAGAGACACATGAGAGACTGACCCGATAAACTGACCCAGGGAGACCAGAACGTGTCGCCCAAACGAACCGGACTGTCCAGGAAACTGACCTGAGTCTAATCAAAAGTGTGAATGCGTAAAAGTCTGTGTTTAACATGTTACAGAGCCTTTAGAAGTGTCCCTGTGGAAAAGTGTGGTCCTGCCCTGCTTCGCTCCTCCAGGGACCAACCTCCAGGATGTGGTTCTGGAATGGACCCGAGAGGACCTGGAAAACAACAACGTCTTCCTGTTCCGAGATGGACGACCCTACCTGGTCTATCAGCACGGACAGTTCAAGGATCGCGTAGAACTCAAAGACCCGTCCTTCAAAAACGGAAACCTGTCCATGACCCTGAAGGACGCCAGCCATGAGGACAGCGGTCGGTACCGATGCACCGTCTTCAGCTCATCACACGTCAAGAAACGCTCCGTGTACAACACACCGCCGGTCAAAGTCATCGACCTCAAAGTAGTCGATCCAGGTGAGTCCACAATCTATCGACTAACCTCCTTTTGACCTCCGTCCGTACACGCCCACTGAGCACTCTACAGTTTATTCTCTTATCAGAGGACTTTTTCTTGTATTAAGTCATTTTTGAACAATTAAATAGGAATAAAAAAACATCATGTAAACAAAAGTTCAGATAAAGTCTAACTTGAGAAAAAGAACTTCATACTGAGCAGTGCCTACAGTTAGCATCACACCCTCAAGGAATGTTGATGACATCAGCTGCAAAGTGCACACAGCACTTTATAATATAAAACTGACATGACAAACTGTGACTTTCTTGTAGAAGCTCATTTCCACCAGTAAATAAAAAATAAAAGCCTCACAGAAAGTCACAATTATGACTTTAAAACTCATAATTACAAGTTTTAAACTCGTAAATATGACTTTAAAAGTCATAATAATGACTTTCTGTGAGCTGTTTTTTTATTATTTTATTTACTGTTGGAAATGGGCTTCCATACTTTCTGGTTCTTTGTCGCAGAGCCTGAGAGGATCCGGGCACTTCCTGGACAAGACGTGGTCCTAAAGATGGAGCCTGTGGACTACCCTGTGACCTCCATCATGTGGAAACGCCCCGAAGATGAAGAACACTTCGTGTTTCTCCACGGCATGGGCCACCCGCACCACCAGCACCCACAGTACGACGGCCGTGTCCAACTAAAGAACCAAGACCAGAACCAAGACCAGATCCAAGACCTGTCCGTGGTCCTGCACAGAGTCCAGCCCGGCGACAGCGGAGAGTACCACGGCTACATCGTCCAATCACAGCACCGCATGAAGAGGGACACTGACCAATCAAAACCTGCCAAAGTGATCATCCTCGATGTGTTGGCAAGTGAGTGTGGCAGAGCGGCTAATCCTTTCAGTGAGGAGGTTGTGGGTCAGACTCCTGAAGGTTTTGTTTTAGGTTCCAGGAAGTTGAGGTGTCTCGGAGGTTGAGGGTCAGACTCTCGGAGGTTGAGGGTCAGGACTCTCGGAGGTTGAGGGTTTAGACTCTTGGAGGTTGTGGGTCAGACTCTTGGAGGTTGTGGGTCAGACTCTCGGAGGTTGAGGGTCAGACTCTCGGAGGTTGAGGGTCAGACTCTTGGAGGTTGAGGGTCAGACTCTCGGAGGTTGTGGGTCAGACTCTTGGAGGTTGTGGGTCAGACTCTTGGAGGTTGCGGGTCAGACTCCTGATGTCTCTTGTGTTTTTCAGGTGGGGCCTGCAGGTGCGAAGCTGGAGTTGGTTTTGTGGCCGCCGTCTTCATCTCATTGATACTTCACTTCTTCAAATAGTAAAGGTGTCATTTGTTTATTTGATTTTGTTTGAGAATTAAAAAACTTAAAGAGGGGGTATTCTGAACAATTGACTTTCTGGAACTTTCGACGAAGTTCTAATGTTTCCTCATCCAAAACACGTCTAAGGAGGTTTTAGATTCATCAATGCATATTTGAGTAATCTAGTGATCTCTCCTGGGCCCTATTCCGCCCACAGGTCTACACGCGCCCTCACGGGACAATTCTCCAGAAATATACAAAAACACAAACCTGTGACACAAAACATGTGACACAGAGAGACTGGACGAACCTGTTGTGACGTGCAGCAGGAGTTTCATTAGTGGGACGAACGCTCCATGAGTTGTGACGCTCTGAAGGGGGAGTGACTGTCAAAAACAAAATGTTAATATGATGTTTTGGGGAAATAGAGCATTTTCAAAACAATAAAAGGAACATGGTGATCTAAATATGTCACGTACCCCCTCTTTAATAGACCTTTTTCACAATGGCCCGAAGTCCCGCGATGTCGAGGAAACGTTACTTCCAGTTAATGTTTTTCTGTGTAAATGTTTGTGTGTAAATGTGTCATATTCTTCATAAATCTGCCCCATCACCAAATCTTCAGCCAACAAGCTCCACAAAGGACAAACATTAACATAACATGAACAATTTATCCACAACTATCAAGAGAAAAAAGAGCAAAACTTAAGGAAACAATGACCACACAAGAAACTAAACTAATGTGATGATCATGAATAAAACAGAAGGAACTTGTTCACTCAGACTCATTCTACAATTAAAATTTAAAATAGATTTCACGACGTAGATATTTGCACTGACAGAGAGATTTGTGCAGTTCAAATGTTACAGATGTTCACAGATTACAGGTCTAACATTTAAACTGCACAAATCTCTCTGTCTATGTTAATATCAACATCATGAAATAGATTTTTAATTTAAATTTTAGAATCAGTCTGAGTGAACAAGTTACTTCTGATGTATTCACGACCATAACATTAGTTTTGCTCAGTAGTTCATTAACAGTGTTTGGAGTAACGTTATAAAAGTAATGAATTACTGTAATGTGTTGCTTTTTGCTGTAATGTGGCATCACAGGGGGAAAAAAGGTAATATTTTACTTGGTACAAATGTCCTTAACCTGGAATGAAGTGGTGGGTTTTTTGTTTTTCTTCATACAAATTGGCTAAAATTAGTGCTGTCAAGTGATAAAAAATATTGAGAGATTAATTAAATGTGCTCTGTAATTAATCTCTTTTTAATCTCACCTAAAAATTGCTGAGAAAAGTCTCAACTTGAGGTATTTTCATTTAAATTCATTATTACATTATTGTGGCAGATCAAAAGACTTTAACAAACTTTAACAGATGCAGTCACTTACACTCCACAGTATCATCATTATTATTATTACTGTTACTCTATATTACTCAACTTTACAACATATAAACATAAACACTCTAGAGCCACATCAGCTGTTTGACATTATCATGTGTTTAATGCAGATTTGCACAAGTCTCACAGAAACAAAACTTAAAACCACATGACTCATTTGCATAAAATAAGCGGAGAAAAAAAAACGCTCTTGTGCGCTGATGCGGTTCAACTTCTGTCGGACTAAAGGACACAGCGACTCTGAGTCTGAGTGTTCTCTCTGTGACAGAGGGGTGTTCTCTCTGTGACAGAGGGGTGTTCTCTCTGTGACAGAGGGGTGTTCTCTCTGTGTGACAGAGGGGTGTTCTCTCTGTGACAGAGGGGTGTTCTCTCTGTGTCAGAGGGTGTTCTCTCTGTGACAGAGGGGTGTTCTCTCTGTGTGACAGAGGATGTTCTCTCTGTGTCAGAGGGGTGTTCTCTCTGTGTCTCTCTGTGACAGAGGGGTGTTCTCTCTGTGTCAGAGGGGTGTTCTCTCTGTGACAGAGGGGTGTTCTCTCTGTGTGACAGAGGGGTGTTCTCTCTGCGACAGAGGGGTGTTCTCTCTGCGACAGAGGGTGTTCTCTCTGTGACAGAGGGATGTTCTCTCTGTGTGACAGAGGATGTTTCTCTCTGTGTCAGAGGGGTGTTCTCTCTGTGACAGAGGATGTTCTCTCTGTGTCAGAGGGGTGTTCTCTCTGTGACAGAGGGATGTTCTCTCTGTGACAGAGGGATGTTCTCTCTGTGTCAGAGGGGTGTTCTCTCTGTGACAGAGAGATGTTCTCTCTGTGTCAGAGGGGTGTTCTCTCTGTGACAGAGGGATGTTCTCTCTGTGTGACAGAGGGATGTTCTCTCTGTGTCAGAGGGGTGTTCTCTCTGTGACAGAGGGGTGTTCTCTCTGTGTCAGAGGGGTGTTCTCTCTGTGACAGAGGGGTGTTCTCTCTGTGTGACAGAGGGGTGTTCTCTCTGTGACAGAGGGATGTTCTCTCTGTGTCAGAGGGGTGTTCTCTCTGTGACAGAGGGATGTTCTCTCTGTGTCAGAGGGATGTTCTCTCTGCGACAGAGGGGTGTTCTCTCTGTGACAGAGGGATGTTCTCTCTGCAGAGGGATGTTCTCTCTGTGTGACAGAGGGGTGTTCTCTCTGTGTGACAGAGGGATGTTCTCTCTGTGTGACAGAGGGGTGTTCTCTCTGCGACAGAGGGGTGTTCTCTCTGCGACAGAGGGGTGTTCTCTCTGCGACAGAGGGGTGTTCTCTCTGCGACAGAGGGATGTTCTGCTGATGGTGAGTCTGTTCTGTGTTTGTGTTGTGATGTTTTCAGAGATCAGACGTGTGCAGGTTTATCGCAGATGCGGCGAGAACGGGAATGAAAATTACAATTCTTTGCGAGAGCGATGTGTTATTGTCCCAACAACACATTAAAAACAGATTTTATAATAAGGCAACTCGCAAACAAAGAGTTTAAAGTTAGAGATTAAAAACGCGATTAAAAAACAAAACACACTAAATACGACTGTAATTAATTAATCGCAATTAACGTGATAATTTGACACCCCTGGCTAAAATCACCACCTCATCTTCCACTCAGACTTCCCACAGTCATGGAGATCCTGGAAAAGTCATGGAAATGAAAGTGTCATTTTCCGGGTCTGGAAGAGTTATGGAATTTTAGTATCAACAACTCCAGCGTTCTGTTAAGCTCTCATTAGACTATTCTCATTATTTCTGGACGTCTTTTGTTTAAAAGAGACGACAATAAATGCACTGACAGGATTTTAAATGTTCAAAAACTATAATCCCAAACCATAAATTGAGTGGAAAGAATTAAACATTTCAGATTTAGCCTAAAAGTCTGATCAATTCTATACATGTAGGAGCCGTAAAGTCCTGGAAAATTCACTTTAACTCATGAAAAAGTCATGGAAAAGTTTTGAAATGAACCCTGCTCCACTGGATGTGATGAGTTAATCGTCTGGATTCAGTCAGGAGCTGGTGAGAGGAACTTGAAGTGCTGCAGCCTTACGTTTTAAATACAGTAATGAGTAATAAAAATAAGGCAATAAAGTTTTTGTTCTTCTTTTTAAACTTTCATCTTTCTTCTCTTGATCGTTGTGGATAAATTGTTCATGTTAGAATGTTTATCTTTTGTGGAGTTTGTTGGTTGAAGATTTGGTGATGGAGCAGATTTATGAAGAATACGACACATTTACACACATTTACACTGAAAACCATTAACCGGACGTGACGTTTACTCGACATCGCGGCACTTCCGGCCATTGTGAAAAAGTTCTATATCCCTCTAAAGTGAAATACCACCTACTTTGTTTTTATTCTCAAATAAAATCAAATGGACAAATGACACGTGGTGATACTGAAGACTCTGTAAAGATCTATGTAGTAAAGATTTGTATTGTAAAGCAGCATGTTTATTAATGAAGTGAAAATGTTGTTACAGAGACAAAGTACACTGCAGTGCATTTGATACCAGGATGAATATTTATATTTGCATAGTGTCAGAAAGTAGCAAACAGAAGATATTTCTACTAGTGACATGTTGTGTTATTTGCTTCTAACGATGCATCTATAAGATATTATAAAGAAGATCATTTGTTTAATTAGATTTAGAATTTTAAGTGCCAATGAATTTCTCACTTAACTCTGAAAAAACATGATTGAATTATTTTTATTCAGAATTTTAGTTGCTGTGTTTAAAATATTTTTATTAAAAACAATCACCTTTTAAATATTAAGCACAAATATTTTCAAGCTCTCAAAGGTTGTATAGAAGATTTTCCAAGGAAAAAGAAATACAGTGACTAAACCAGGACTAAACCAGGACTAAACCAGGACTAAACCAGGACTGAACCAGGACTGAACCAGGACTGAACCAGGACTGAACCAGGACTAAACCAGGACTGACTGAACCAGGACTGAACTAGGACTGAACCAGGACTGAACCAGGACTGAACCAGGACTGAACCAGGACTAAACCAGGACTGAACCAGGACTAAACCAGGACTGAACCAGGACTGAACCAGGACTAACCAGGACTGAACCAGGACTAAACCAGGACTGAACCAGGACTAAACCAGGACTAAACCAGGACTAAACCAGGACTGAACCAGGACTAAACCAGGACTGAACCAGGACTAAACCAGGACTAAACCAGGACTGAACCAGGACTAAACTGGTCTCAATCCTGATCTTGTCCCGGTCCAGTCCCGGTCTCAGTCCTGGTCTCAGTCCTGGTCTCAGTCCTGGGCTCAGTTCTGGGCTCAGTCCTGAACCAGGTCTGAACCAGGTCTGAACCCAGGTCTGAACCAGGACTGAACCAGATCTGAACTGGTCTCAATCCAGATCTGGTCCTGGCCTCAGTCCCGGTCTCAGTCCCGGCCGCAGTCCTGGTCCCTGTCTCAGTCCTAAACCAGGACTGAACCAGGACTAAACTGGTGTCAATCCTGATCTTGTCCCGGTCTCAGTCCCGGTCTCAGTCCAGGTCTCAGTCCCGGTCTCAGTCCCGGTCTCAGTCCCGGTCTGGTCCCGGTCTCAGGACTGAACCAGGACTGAACCAGGACTGAACCAGGTCTGAACCAGGTCTGAACCAGGTCTGAACCAGGACTGAACCAGGACTGAACCAGGTCTGAACCAGGTCTGAACCAGGTCTGAACCAGGACTGAACCAGGACTGAACTGGTCTCAATCCAGATCTGGTCCTGGCCTCAGTCCCGGTCTGGTCCCGGTCTCAGTCCCGGTCTCAGTCCCGGTCTCAGTCCCGGTCTCAGTCCAGGTCTCAGTCCAGGTCTCAGTCCAGGTCTCAGTCCCGGTCTCAGTCCAGGTCTCAGT